CTTTTAAAGGTGCTTTTTGACTTATAATGACTTTACCCGTTAAAATAGTCTTTGGGATAGTCATTATTTCTTTCACATGAGAAAAAATTGATTACGTATTGGTGGCTAGGGGTCCATGGAGGAAAAACTCATCAGAGTCCATCATCTTGTCACACTGCGTCAGTACCACAGCATGCCACAAAATGAAAGCCTGGGTAATTAATATTGATCCTGCCACATGGTATACATAAGAATATTGTTGTTTCACTTTGTAGTTATGATGAAATGGCAAAATATGACCTTCCAGCTTCCATTAACTTCATCCTGGACAAAACTGGCCAGAAGCAAATATTTTATGTTGGCCATTCTCAGGGCACCACAACAGGTAGGTTGAGGATGTTCTTACAGCATTTTTGCCATTCTTTTAGGCTGTACTTATTTATACTGTTGAACTACATAAATTCAGGAGAGGCATTTTAGTAGGACTTACATATATGTAGCTCCTAAACATGTAGAAAATATCATCTTAAGTAACAGTCTCTAGATTTCTTGCTAGCCTGAAAGTGCTTCTAAAGTAAGCAATTTTTATTCTTTGCTTCGGAACTTAGAAAAGGTTTGTTTTTTTACTCAGAACTCTTCAGCTGGCTGGTAAATCCTAAGGACGCAGTCCAAAAAAGTAACATTTCCATGCTCTAGATTTGGAATAGAGCTAATTAATATTTCAATGTGAATCAAAGCAGCTTATGAGAATTTAGAGGGAAATGATTCATTGACATACATAATCTTTCACAAACTGTTAGAAAAACTAATTTAGGTATGTTGCTTGCTTATTTTTAAAGTGAGAGATGTCAACAGTTTGACAAATAATGCTCAAAATCTTGTTGCTAAAAGTAACAGAGTAGGCCTATTGAATCAATGGAGATTTGGTGAGTCATCTCTGCCATATATTCTATAGAGTCAAATGGTGGAGTTTGACTCATTAAATCCATATTTAGTTGGGAATACTCAAGTGTGATTTGTTATTCTAAGCAACAGGATTTTGACCATTTTGTGATTAGATTGTGAGGTTGTATAGATGCAAAACACAAATCAAGTGCAGTGAAAAGAGCAGAGACAAATATAAGCCCAGTTCAAACATTATAATCTTTGCTGTGATGAACTAGTATTTATTACATTGAAAACAATTCAAGATATCGTTGTGTTTTTGTTTTATAATTGAACATATTGGCCCATCCTCTTTCCTAATTTCCTGGTGTAACACGAACTGTAACATTTGGAGGGGGGTTGCCTTAAGTTTAAAAAATTACTGTCAACATTATCTGCTGCATTCCAAGTTCTGTGCTTTCTGAACTTAGGCCAATTTTCATAGCAGAGTAAAAGGTTTCAACCATTATTTTCTAGAGCTATTTTAAGTAATTTTAAGCCAGTTTGATTTAAATTTATTTTAAAAGAATAAAAGCTACTGAATAAATAAAAGTGGCTTTTGATGTTAAAGTTGCGGCTGTAAACAGTTTTTTGAAGACTCTTAAGGCCACGGTGGCAGAATCTTTGGAACTAAAATCTTTGTTTTCTCTTCTCCACTCCACCCTTTTCCAGGTTTCATTGCATTTTCAACTTTGCCACAGCTAGCTAAGAAGATAAAAATGTTCTTTGGATTGGGACCCGTCGCCACTATAAAGTTCTCGACCAGCCCTTTGGTCAAGTTTAGCATATTCCCAACACTGTTGCTCAAAGTATGTATTTTAGATAAACTGCTTCACTCCGTGGCTTGTGGGCAAATACGGCCAAATGTCTTAAGTACTGGGGAATTTGCTTCTCTTATTTCTGTACATACTTGAAGAAAAGACTGAACACACCTTTGGACAAAAGCCTGATCTGATGGCGTGCGTAAAAATAAACACATCTTTTGACCTAAGATGATTTGCTTTTATTCTCTCGGGCTTAAACATCGTGATGTTAACATTTGTTAGAGTGTTTGGGCAGGGTGTTTGCGGTAGTTTCTCTCAGACTCTTTAACACTGTGTACTGTAGTAGCTTTTGTTCTTCATCTTTTTCAGGTTTGTATATAAAGTGTTGTAAACATTTTCATTTCCTTCCTTGCATCCAGTATTCATGGAATCAACCTGGCAGGACGTTGTTGTTGTTAATCAAAGATACATTTCTTGCTTTTAATGATACAGTGTTGACATTCTTGTTCTGGTATAAATAACATTAATAATTTTCCTCACCTCTTAGCATTGAATGGCAATAGTTAATATCCTAGCATCATTCTTTTCTACTTCTGTGTGTGATGTACTACTTATGGGTGGCCCTGGATATTGTACAAGTAGTCTTTGGGTGATTAAGACACTATCTCTGCAATTTAAAATGTGTATATTGTTCCTGAGGTCTGATCCTTGCATACCATCTGCTGAAGAGTTTGAAAAATATGCTTGATCTGTTGTATACAGATTAGACCACCTTAAGTCCAGTTTCCGTCGGCTGCAAGAAGTTCTTGCCTAAAATTAACAGTTATTACAGACCATGATATTTATTGGGTTGACTGTAGTAGATGTTTAATTTTGAAATAATAAAATTATTTAAATTCCTGTGTCTGAATTGAGATAGTTGGAACAACACATTCAGTTCTAAACTGTGCTGTTTCAACTGTAACAAACTGAAAGTCTCTGATAAGCTTACAGAATGAATATTAAGCTGATTAAGGCCATCCAGTTCTGATTCGAATGCATGGAAAACCAAAGCTAGATGTTCATGAGCCGAGAACTTGCATAAGATGCACACCCTTCATTTCCATATCTTGTTTTTGTACTCTGTAGACATTCTTAATATTGCTGCAATAAGAGTGCATTTTCACTCGTACTTGAATGTAGGCTCGATTGCTGGGTGTGCCATTGCACAACAGTTTAACTTTTATAAAGCACCCCTGGAAGATCTTCCCGGCTTTTGTTGATGCTTCTTCCCTTAAAATGTTTGATAGGGCCTTTGGTTATAGTGATGCTTAGCATTTATGTTGCACTTTTTGATGTTCTAAAATGCTTCATACGCAAAGCTATTGCAAGAATTACTGAGTTAATCTGCTCAGTATTCTTCCTATGTTGCAGATTGCCTTGAAAGAGTGTTGAGAGTGGGAGATGGTGGGTTTTCAGAAGTCCCTTGAGGTGTTTGTGGCAGAGGAAACGTTTGCTTTAAATTTGCAGGATTCAGTGGCTACTAGTGCTGTGCTTCATTACTTGTCTTTGACAGTAAAACACAAAGAGTATGCTCTCCTCAGAAGAACAAAAAGGTGCTACTGGTATTCTCAGTACAAGGAAAAAGTTGAGAAATCTGATAGCACTATGATCTTCCTTGAGCACCTGGGTAAATAACAAAGCTGAAAAATAATCTACTAAAATTGTTACAGGAGTAAACCATTGCTGTTCCATGAGAGATGCCAACACACTCCTGTGACCACTAGGTATCTGGCAACATGGCTACGGACTGAAAAGCAATATTATTAAATCAAGTGTAGGCAGCTGTGTCCTTTCAGGTGTTCTTCCTCTACCCTTCCCACCAGCACTCGCTGGAATAGCAGATGGTCAGGAATTAGAGGAATTGCAGTCCAAAAACATCTCGAGGGCCACAGTTGCCTCTCCCTGCCTTGAAAGTTGTATCTATCAGAAAGCCTGGCAAAGCCTGCTGCCTGAAGATTGTGCTGGAGGGGATGCTTGGTGGAGAGATAAGGAAGGGACAGACCACAGTCACAGATGTAGGACTGGGGTAGAGAGCTGCTAACAGTCAGAGGTGCTGGTGCTAACTAATGTTAATAAGTTAATTGTGGGATGGATATCTGTGTGATTGTGGGGGTAGGAAAGGCCTATTTATGTGTTAGACTTTCTAGTTTCAAGCTCCTCGATCAGATACTTGTGTTTTTTTCATTCACTATTGTATATATGCATTGTGCAAAGAAGTTTATCATATAAATTGCTTATTGGCCAAAATCCTGTTGCCTAGTTTAATAAATCATACTGGAGTGGGTCCATTGAATCAGTGGCTATTTAGTGAGTGAACTTCCATTGAGTCAAATGGACCTACTTTAACTGCACCTTTCTTTTGTTTAGTAATTTGCACTTAAGAGTAGACCCATTTGAATCAATGGAACTTATAGAGGAGTTGATTTATCATGTCCCCATTGATTCAGTGAGCTTATTCTGGTGTCATTTTCTGTGCTAAGCAACGATTTGGACCATTGATTAGTTTTCTCTGCCATTGTTTTTGAATTGTTAAACAATTTGGGCCAGTGATTAATGTTTTCTCTGCCATTGTTTTTGAATTGTTATATTGATTGCTGTTTATTCTGTATGTCCTGAGCTGTATTCAGCGTGTGTGTGTGTGTGTGTGTGTGTGAGAGAGAGAGAGAGAGCAAGAGCAAGTGAATGAGCATACAAATAAACTGATAATACTGTATTTGCATAGCTGCAATTCTTCTGTTACATCTTATGATGCTGAATTTGTTAACTGCCCAGAGTGGCTTTGGTAGCCAGATGGGCAGTATAAAACTCAAACCAGCAAACGTTATGTGGGAAGTGTTGCCATTGTTTTTTCGTTTACTGTTGTATATATGCATTGTGCAATAGAATTTGATTTAAATCAAATCCACCCTGTTCATCTGCCTGACTCTGAATATGCAATGTAAATGGGCCTTAATATTAACACTTGCAATGTCAAATATATGTTAGCATTTTCTCTTGCAGATCTATGCGTGTTACCATCACATAGCTTAGAAGAGCCAAGCTTCAGGGTAGATACAGTGGGGAGTTTTACCTATGGGAAATTGTTCAGCTATAGATAAACTCAAGACTAGAGAATGCACGTGTATAACATATAATACAGTGGTGCCTCGCTTAGCGATGTTAATCCGTGCAGCAAAAATCGCTGCAAAATGATAACATCGCTAAGCGATTTTAAAAAGCCCATAGAAAGACATTAAAACGTGTTTTATTTATTTATTTATTGTCATTGAAAGTATATACACAGTACTGTATACCCATACAATGAAATTCACAAATTAATGCGTTCCTATGGGCTTAAAAACTAACCTTATGCGAAACTCCTCCATTGTGGCAGCCATTTTTGGTGCCTCTAAAGCGAGGCAAAACGGCGGGTGGCCATTTTGGAACCGCCGATCAGCTGTGCGAAAATGGGGGCTTTGCGATGATTGCTTCCCTGCGATCATCGCAAAGTGAATTTTCCCCATAGGAAACATCGCAAAGCGATCGCTTTTGCAATCGCAAAAACAGCATCACAAAGCGATTTCGCCATAAAACGGAGCGATCACTATGCGAGGCACCACTGTATAGTCAAAATTCAAGGTTGAGCTGAGTGCGCAATGCCTCGTCTTTTTAATAAAGTGTGTTTAAGTTTTTCAAATTTATACAAATATTTGAAATTTATATTTTTTTTCCTGTCCAGGGGAATGCTTGTATGAGTAACTGGCGTAGTGTCTGAGCAGAGAATTATCACTAAATTCTTGGTAATATCTTGATGCATTCCTAAGAACATCAATTCTTAACAAAGTGACCTTTATATTCTTACATTCGCAGGAAGTTTTTGGAACCAAAGAGTTTTTCCCCCAAAACTCGATTGTGAGATGGCTGGCAACTCACTTCTGTGACCATTTCTTCCTGGATGACCTCTGTGGCAATGTATTCTTTCTGTTTTGTGGTTTTAATGAGCAAAATCTAAATATGGTAAGACTTCCCATAGCCTAACATGAGGCAGAGAGTGCTGTCTAAAGAATGTAGTGCATTATTGTGGGTCTGTGGATGGGAGAAGCTTGATTACATGTTGATGAATACTGTCACTGCCTGTATCGTTGATGCTTTTGCCTTATGCTTCATCATATCAGCTGAAAAAAACTGCTTAGGTGGGTCCCATAGTCTTATGTGTGTCTCCCTCTGTTCATGACTTGATGACCCTAGTCATGGCACTAGATACCACAACCCCCCAATCAAAATTAACAGAAGTCTCTCCATTTACATGCATGTGCATTATTGGTTGGAAACCTTAGGTAACTTATGGTTCTCTCCATACTGGCTCTGTGTACTCGCACAAAGTGTTAAATCACTTAAAAGGTTTTTGTCCCAGCACCTGCTCATGGGTATGCAATATTTTTTTTAATTGTTGCTTTGTGATTACACATATACAAGCTAGAGCATAGCATAATGGCATGGCACACAACTAGATGAAACAGTGCCATAATGCAGTCTTGGAATACTTAGAGATGCCGTGTCGCATTGCAGGCATCAATAGAGATTGGTGCAAGAATTTCGTATCAAGCAGAAACATGTCACGGATTCCTCCCCTTTTGCCTTGATTTGTGCCTTGACGCGCCTCCAGATAATCAGTTCAGTGGTTTCTAATTAGGGTTATGCTACATCTTATTTTACAGCAGGATGGAGAAGTATTTCTCCTCTGTTATATGTAATGTTTCATATTGATTTCATCAGATCCTTAAATTGAAATGTTCTCTTCTAAACAAAAGTCATGTTTGTGTGTCTATGGCCAAACTAGATGCATCTGCTGGCTTAAGTCAAATAGTGTAAATTGCTGCAACAAAATTCCACTAGCTGTACAGTTTGTATGTATGCTGCATGCCAGTTGCATGACTTAACACACAGCAAAAATACAGCTGGCAACTTCTGAATAAGCAGCTAGCTGTAGCAGCAGTTTATACCTTCTGGTGTCCACCAGCAGGCACAATTAATAGGATTCTGGTTATTGTTCTGTTGAAAGTCAGAGCTAGCTCACAGTGTCACATTGGCTTTCCTAAAGAGCTGCTATTAATTCTTGGCCGCTTCGGTGACACTGTCCAACCATCTCGTCCTCTGTCGTCCCCTTCTCCTCTTGCCTTCACTGTTTCCCCACATAAGGTTCTTTACCAGGGAGTCTCCTCTTCTCATGAGATGGCCAAAGTATTCGAGCCTCATCTTCAGGATCTGTCCTTCCGGTGAGCACTCAGGTTTGATTTCCTTCAAAATTGATAAGTTTGTTCTCTTTGCAG